AATTCGCCTTGACTGCTCACTACTTTTGCCTTTCTCTTCTTTTAGCTTCTTCCCACAAAAAGACATAATTGCCCAAGGTATCCCTAAAATGGCAAGATCACCAGATCTATGGCTCATAGAAACGGCTATCAGTTCGTGGAAAGCGAATGCTGCTTTAACAATCTTGATAACAAAGTGCTGACTAGACTTCTACGAGTGATAGGCGAATGGCGCCAACTTCGCTTAGGAATTTAATTGCGATAACCTCGATTGCGTAAGTTGTACACACGTGAGCCTTATTCATACCGTATTATTATCCTGTTGATGAAACGCAATGCAACATTAGAGACCAAAGAGCTAGCATTAGATAAAGCAGAAAACAATAAGGAAAACAAAAAAGATAAAACTTGCCCGAAATTAAACACCTCATCTTCTGATCTCTCATCCTTTGCCATTTACGTCAAACAGCGTTCAGAGACAAGTGATGCAATATTAAGATCTGCATCGCTGTAGGAAATCCGGCTAGCCTCCCTAAATTGTTATCCTGAACTCCATGGATGCATCTAAGAATATAGATTTGTGGGTAAAGCGTACTAATATAATAATACTTCCTTTTGTACAGTAATTCGTGTTTTGAGCCCAAATAGGGTTATGCCATTGGAAATATAAGAAAGTTTTAGATACGGAAAGCGAAGCTGAGAGTTCTGCATCTGCACCTGTCTAATACAGACTCTGAGAATTTTTTGCCCTCTCTTAGCATACAGCACTAGGTAGCATTAAGCACTTTAACTTCCTTTTTGGGATAGTAAAGGGTCATCCCTGATTATGCTTAGACAAAAGCGCTACAAGCTGGATAAAATGCGGTGTCCTGATTTTGTCGTCTTCCGTCCCATAACGACCAAAACTGTTCTCTCTATAACGGAGTTAATTATAATATATCTGGTACATGATTCCACTGAATTGGTTCAGTCTGAGACAAATGTCGAGCCAGACAACGATTTGTACAAATGCGACGTACTGCATTGATTTTTCAAATAATGATATTGGTAATGCAATCTTTTCGCAGCAGCTAATATAATCAAAAAAGCGCAGGGATATTGAGAAAAGATGAAGTTGTGCAGCCAAGACTACGTTCAAACTGATTTGGCAAATACACTGCTTACACATTCCAAGTCAAGAATATTTTCAATGGTTAAGATCGATAATAATAATGGGGTAAACTAACTTGCAGAAAACGTGATTTTAAAGTTTACAAGAAAGTTCTCAGGCGCTTGCTTCAATTTTTTTCAAAACAACTCTCCAAAGGACCATTTTGATCAAAAGAATGACCATATGCCTTGATACAATGCGGCCAACAACAAACAACCGATTTATGCTTATCTCACAAAACTCAACATTTTGGAATTGAAAAAAAAAACTGGCGATT